ATATATATATATGGAAGTTGTGGGTCTGGAAACTCGTATGTATACCCAGAGGTACACGTATACCAATTTAAAAACCATTCCCTTAGTCTTCGATCTCCCAGTACCCACCCATTCCCTTTACTCTTAGCTGTTAAAACCAAAGCCTAGAAAAATGACCTACCCCAAAGTACAACCTAGGTCTCCTAAACTGCCAACAGATGAGTTCGCAACTCTTCCAAATGACCTTTCATTGTGACCCTGAATAAAAATTTAAACCTCAGTGAGACTTATTTTTCTCATTTGCAAAATGGAAGAGGTAGTATAGATGATCTCTACACTTTCCTTTATTCCTCCAGATCCACTGTCCAGCCTTCTCCACTCTGCACTGGACCCCACCTGGTAGGTGTATTTCACCTGCATCACTGGGCTTTCTTACTCTGGAGTCTGGGTGCAGTCAATAGTAGCCTCTGGCAACAGCTTGAAAGGCAGAAAGGGAGTCAAAGCATATCATCTATTAACCAACTCTCCTGTGGCTGGTTGTGTCATACCAGTGGTGTGTGGCATTTTCTTCATTCCACTGCCCTCTCAGGGTTCCAGCGATTTCTCCCTTCCCTCTCCTTTTCAGACGTACTGACATCTTCCCAAACAATTCCACCCCACTGAACCCACACTGGATCCTCCCATCTGCCTCCTGTCCAGTTGAGATGAGAGAAGGGAGAAGAACTGGAGACAGCTCAACATTCTCAACTTCCTTAATGCCTTAAAGAAATTTTTGAAGGTAATAATTTGGGAAGAATTGCAGGAGGAGCACATTTTGGGGCAAAGATGGAGAGTTAAATTTGAGCTGCGTTAGGCTTTGAGATGCCAAGTTGGGTGAAAGATTTAGGCTAGAAGTATGAATTGGAAGTGGGGTAAAATCAGATTTTTATTACATATGATTAAATCTGAAAATATGGATGTTATTTTTAAAATATAAAATTATATGAAATAAAATCTGAAGTTTCTCTTTTACTCTCTTACTCCAAACCCTCTACTCTGCCCAAGAGTACCACTGTTCAGGAGCTATTATGTGTTACAAAACTAAAAAGACACTGAAGATTGTTCAGTCTGCCAGATTAGAGAACTAGGATTAACAAGG